TCTTGGGTTGCGCGTGCTGAGTCCTATTGGAATGTCCGAGGTCAGCGGTCAAAATGTTTGCGTGCCCAATTCTTTAATACACCCTCCAGAATATTTTTGAGATAATATTCGGCATTTATTCTGATGCCGCGGTCGATTAATTCGAGCGAAGAGCGGCCATCGGCTGTTATGGCGGCCCACACCATCAATATGACCGGCACCTGATTTCTAGTAGCCAACCGTAGGTGCATCACTATCGCACTTACATGCTTGAATTCCACCACGAATAACATTTTTTTCTGGAAAATTATCACCAAAATGCTTTTGTACGCTTATAAATAATATAATGAGCTGTCACTGGAATAGTTTTAACAGCTGTCGGAGGTGTGGCTTAGAAATTACAGCAGTCTGAAATTGATTGCAGTTTTTTTATCTCACCCTGCACAGTGGTGTAATACTTACTTATTTTTCTAGCTAACATCATATTTTTTCATTTATTATTGGTACACTTGGACGCAAAAAACATAATTCATCCGGGAATAGCCAGGTCGTAAGTCAAAGAACATTTCGATACGTAACATATACAGCAAATCAGAAGTCAAATATTAAAAGGTAAAATAAACTTTAAGTACCCTCTACCATATGGAATGAATTTTGAAATTTTCAAAAAAAAAATCCGATAAAAATTATGTTAAAATTTTAAAAATACCCAATATAGCCATTATATTGAGATCTTTACGAAGACGTGGGCCTGCATAGGTAACTTTTGTCATAAGCCGTAACAATATGCAAATACGAAACTTAAAAAAAATCCTGTGAATAATGTAGCTAAAAGCATGAAAATACCAAATGTATAGGAAGGTACCGTTTTATCGGGGCTTTGCGAAGACCTGGACCAGCATAGACAATTTTCTGTCGTATACTGTATTTCTTTAATTCTTTGGTTCCTCTTCTATTGAGCTTACGATCTCGCCACTTGGGTAAAAAATGTTTTTTATCATAGAAGTTATTTTTAAAATAACTTCTGGGGAGAATATCCCAGACAAAAAACAAGGGAACTGATGAGGATTGGTGGCTCTTTCCGAAACCTAGGTATTCCCTGCCTTACCCCCTGGTAAACATTACCATCGTTCTCCACTAATAAACAAACGTTGTTTTTATAAAAACAACAATAAAGGGATAAAGCCTAAACATTTTGCAACAACAGTGATTACATATATATACATTGTTATATCTAGAAGTTTTATTTCGATGAGTAACGAACAGAATGACGAACTTAAAATACCCTCCATAAGGTGTAGTAACATGTTTAATATATTTTATTTCATATTTCCTGTGTGAGTAATCAACATTCATTCAGAAGACTAGGCCCATCTACCGGTCGTCTGCCTGGCTGCTGCGCACTATAACTCTGGAGGAGTGTAATGGTATCGTTGTAAATCGTAATAGTTTCGAATTCAAAGATAGACCACATTTGTCCACTCCCATCTTACAAACACCAATTGGAAAATATCAAAAAATATAAATCTTGTTTAGTTTAAATTTAGCACATCACATTATTTATATGCAACTTAGGTCTTATGCGAAAATCGACAATGCCAACAAATTCAAATGGTAACGTTTTTATTTTACATTTTACATTAGTTCCAAAATACCAAAATCATTACAATATCAGGAAATACATTTTTATTTTTATATAATTTTATTCGTCAACATATCTGATGTACATATTGAATGTAATCAATTAATGATATTTTTACTTCTTGAACTTTGATTTCATCTTTTGAAAAGAGACATATATCCACTTTTCTGAAATATATATGTACATAAATTGATCATAATAAAGTTTACACAACAAGGTGTTGAGTAGTGGCCTGATTCGAAAATGCATGTGTCTGTAATTAAAGCTATCCTGGAATTCATTTCAAAATAAAAAAAACATTCACCACAGAAACACCAAATTTCAATGATGCAACAAACTGTCATGGCATGGAAATTTTTGGATAAATGGATGCGGTTTTCCTTGTGGACGAATGTTATGAATGCATGAAAAGAAAGAAATCAGGTTTCTGTCTTAAGTCTTTTGTTTTTCTTTTTCTATTTCTTTCAGTCATCCGAGCGTATTTTTTTGGAACCCAAAGTGCTTGTACCAATGGTAAATTTTTGTTCGTTTTTGACAAATTTGCACAAAATAAAATCATCTAGCCGTTGAACACCAACATATACGCGAGCATGCAATTGTACTATATCGAATCAATTGATGTACTTGCCGGGTGGGTTAGTATGTGCACAGTCTTGTATCCATTTGTAGCTTTAATGTCTTGTGGCTTTGCTTAACTGTATGTATCTGTGTATGTACGTTTATATTACAACACTTGTAAACCTCTTAACATAAAACATGACACATGCTCCAACAAACACACACATGCACACCTGCATTTTGACGCACTCGACAATAATTTGTATCCAAGGAAACTGTCTAAGCAAATTTTGGGAATGAAAAAATAAAAAAACTTAATATACATAAATAAACAAACAAACAAAAAGACGTTAAAAGTAGGCAAAAAATTAAAAATATTTTATTAAGAGCAGACAGAGATGAGGTTGTAAACTACAATCATCAACAACAACAATAACAAACTCAACAAGTCATAAAGATCATCATTTATGGTAGCGGGAGCGCAGTTGTACGGGGCCTACTTTATAATTAGTTTTCAATATTTATTTATTTTATTGAGTCATGAAATAATTGCATTGAAATAAAATGTAATTAGACTCATGTAGGTCTATTCGCATAGCGTAAATTAGGAATCGATTTCATGAGAATAATAATAAAACGTTGATACAGTTTATGGCGTTGGAATTGTATTCTTTAAATAAACAAATTTTTAGAAGTTATTTCATTTCGATATTCACAAAATCGTAATCAATACAAATAATTAATTAATTATTATTTTCGTTTCCAAGACTTGTTTTCTAGAATTGTTTTAATAACAATTCCGAAAATTTCTGTATTTACTGCTATTTGAAACATTTGTATTGTTAGCTTTAATATCTTACAATTGTTTTAATTTTTTCATTAATTTTCGTTATTATAGGATTATTTTCACAGTAAAGCCAATCCAAATGCATTATCCTCAAAGACTCAAAATTTATGTTGCAGTCACTGATTGCTACCAACATCATGATTTGATCCAGTCAAAGGGAATGGTCACTTTGCTTTTAGAGTTTTTGATATGACGACTTTGGTGAAAAGTAAGCTCTTTTAGTGTCGAGCATCACACTCACTTATTATTTTTGGAGATTTGGTGTTAAACATGTTAAACTTCTGTGGTGCGGTATTTCTTGATCTCTAATTTTATCACATTTGCTGGCATTTTTAAATTCTCACTTCACGTGGTGAAAAGTATGACCGTCGAATTTTATAAAATGTTCATGTTAATATCAGTATCTCAAGACGTTGCAGATTTCTAAAATGTACTGGTATATAATACTGTGTACTACAGAAAATGGAAAATTGGAACATCGATTTACATCAACATATCTTCAAGTAAAATATGCTATTCTTGTAGTTGGTCAACTTTCAGTGTGCAAGGAATATATATATAGACTCATATATATGATCTGATTTTTCCTAAACTCTAACCTCATGCGAGATTTCGTATCCTTTGGTTTTTATTGGTGACCTTTATAACGGCTGCAAAATCAGGAACATTTTTAGTTGTTGGTCCATTTCAACCCCTAAATATATTGCGGACATCTTTGAAAACAATAGGCCTAGTTCTTAAGAGCCTAACTCTACCCTAAAATTTTCGTGAGGACCGGACGATAATGGCAATCTGTTTATAATAACCCCACCCTGTAAGGTGAAAAAATATTACAAAATATACTCTTAAATATTTTAAGTCAAATTGAAAAAATCGCATGCGATAAAAATATGAAAAAATAAAAAAATACTACAAAATCTTTATTGGTATATTTTTAGCTGATTTTTTTCGATTTTCTTCTTTTATGCCAAGAGGGTATTCGGAATTGACAAAATTTGTCAAAATCGGTCCAGCCATTCTTGAGATATAAGCATTCTAGCTACCATACCCTTCCTTGGTATGTATACATTGTATATATTTCGCTATATATCTCCGATATATTTACTATCGGCATCTATGTAACGGTCAGAATTGACCTGTTCGTCTATTTCTGAATTCGCCGCGATTAAAAATATTCGCGGTTTAATAGATTTGATTTGACTTTAACACAAATGTCATGATCTATTTCACCCACTAAATATTACCCGACGACCATCAAAATTGGGAGTCTTCTGCCCAGCCCTAAGCTCTAGCCTCATGCCAACTTCCGCGTCGAGATCCTGTCATAAGCTGTAGTATCCATTACGAACTTAAATACCATATTTGAAACAATTCCGATGAATAATGTAGCTAAAATCATCAAAATCCCGAATATGGGGAGGTACCGTACCGGTATGGGGGCTGTACCAAAACCTGGACTCACATGACCCATTTTCAATACCAGAAGTCCTGCAGACATAATATACATTTGAGTAAAATTTTATCAATTTACTTAATTTTGTTCGGAAGCTAGAGTGATTTCCACAGATAGACAGGCGGACGGACATCTCTTAAACGACATATAATTTTATGCTGATCAAGAATATATATACTTTATGAGGTCTAAAATGTGTACTTCGAGGTATTACAAACGGAATGACAAAGTTAATATACCCTCCATATTATGGTGGAGGGTTAAAAATCACCTAATATTCAACATTAAAGGGGCCTCAGTATTTTCTGTTAATCTACTCACTTTAATTACAAATCCGCCTGTGAATATGCGCCACACACTAAATTTAGACGCGTGCCATAAACACACTCATTAACGTGTGTTTGTTCGATTTTCAGTTTGTACATGTGTGTGAGTCTAAATTTTCAAACATTTTTCGCTTTGTGGTGGCACGGTAAACAGATTTTCTTTAAAAGACGCTGATTTTGGTGGAAAATCGTTCAAATGCTTTTTAGACATTAAACGATCAACAACATCTTTAAAACGACTCAATTGAGTATGAACTCAATTTAAAAAGACAGAAAACGAAACTAAAATATTAAAGTCTCAATATTAAGAGATTTTGAGTGTTGGCTCCCCTCATTCCAAAAGTGTTGTAAAGAAAGTGAAAAGAAAACACACAGAAAAAGACTCACTCGAAAAAGCTTGGGATAGGTTGAGCAAAGTGAAATACCAAAAACATAATTTAAGCCCAATCATTGTTGCGATCATATGCCGCCGGTTTGAAACGGTAAAAGTCGTAACGACAACGTCAAACGTAACGGACGTGTTGGTAAGCGCGTAGACGTCGAACAAAAGAAACGAATAATTGTCGATAGTTAAACGGAAATTACAAAAAGAAGCGCAACAGAGAAAAATTAAAAAATAAAGCAAATATAAATTTAACCAAAAATCAAGCCACAACACAGAGCAAACACAATGAAGGTGAGTATTTGGAACAGGATACTGCAAAAGAAACGGACAGAAAATCCGAGAAATAAATAAAAAACCAATTGATAAAGACCAAGGAAATACCAAGGTGCAAAATAATTGTTTAAACAATCCCTATTCCCAATGTCTGATCATGGATACCAAGAAAAATCAGTGAAAGTGAAATGGTGATAATGATGTTTTAAATAAATAACACGACAATGACATTGTGCGTATGTCACGAATGTTTTTATTTACTTTAACTAAAAACTAAACAAACTGTTTATGCTGCCAACTTGATGAAGAAAAGTGACAAAAAATCAAATTCATAGAAGAAAAAGAAATGAAATAAAAATCCAGAAAGAGAGACCACAAAACTTAAAACTTTTGTTATTGACTTAAGCGAAAATTGAAAATAATCATTGATTTTCTGTTTCCATTCAACATTTTGCCAACATTCATTTCATGGCTGAAAAACAAGTTCAAGTGCATTATTATGTTGTTGAGGTTTTCCATTTCCTTTTGCCTCTTTCTCCTCTTCCTCTTCGGTGGCAAAAATGAAAGAAACAAAAAAAAAACAAGAAATTGCAACTCCATTAAATATGGATTTTATAATGGACGAGTTTTGGTCAGGTACATCAACCCGTTTTGTTGCATTCACCATCATCATCGTTATTATCATGAAGTGAACGCAATGGTATTGGGGTTTGCTCTCTGTTTTGTCTTCTGTCTACCACTTTCCGTTTCATTCGGCCACTCAACAACAACAAATATCAACGTGAATGTGTAGTTCAAATGGACGTGAGTGGTTTAGAAATTATGTAATGCTACCAATTCCAGCTCAGTTGTTAGCCGATGGAGAAGAGACCCTCCGATAAGCCAATGCAATCGAATTTCATGACTAAAAATTTATGCAAAATAAAAAAAAAAAACAAACAAAAACTTCCGAAATATTTCAACAAAAGAAGACCAACAAAGCGTCAGACGCATAGTGTGCAAATAAAAAATTAAATAAACACCGGTTTTAATGTTGCAATATTGAATGAAATACCCAAAAGTGATTCCAAATCCGTTACTAACAACAGATGATTCAGATTATGATCATTGATTGAAATCATCAGCTGTATTGTTTTTGATTTCCCGCCTTAAAACTAGTTCGTCTTTATAGCTTCCATTCGATATATGACATCAATAAAATGTAAAAAAGGTGTATCTTAATTATATTAATTTCAGTATTATAAAAGTTTTGAATTTGAAATATAAAACCTAAAAATAAAATAAAATATATCTCAAAAATGGAAAATGTTTCGAATGGATCGAACGTATTTCTATTAAAACTTTTGCTATATTGCTACAATTTGGTATTATTACATGATCGAGCAAATGTCGAATGACAATTTATTATGAATTCTTATTACCTTCACAAAATACTCAGGATGTCACATTATTTAAAAACTGAAAAATATCATCAAATTTCAACTTATAAATGATCCTGCATAAATTACCCATCAACTAAACAGCTAATTAAGTACGTTTTAACCCAACAATTCGTAACACAGAGAAATAATGTCTCTGGCTCCGAATTTGAAGTGAACGTCCGTCTGGTGCAAAATCAATCAATATTTGCCCAATTAGACAGATATATCGGACTCAACTAAGTATTGACTACCCATTTTTTTACGCATACTGAATAATGGAGAGTATAGGACAGGATATAGTTGGTTTAAATGGCGTATGTTGCAACTTCCATAGCTTTAATAATGGTATTTCGCATGAAATTTCTTAGTTCAATTAAAGTAGATTTTGAGCGTGCACATTACAAAACAAGAAAAAAGCTGTACGTTCGGCCCTCCACCATTTGGAACGAATTTGGCAATTTTCAAAAACAATAAAATCCGTTAAAACTTCTGTTAAAATCTTAAAAATAAATCTTAATCATAAATAATAAAAATGTTGATAAAATCAAAATACCGAATATCGGGAGGTACCGTTATATGGGGGCTATACAAAGACGGGAGGTACCGGAAGAGGTGGACCTAAACAGACAATTTTCTGTCTTAGGCTGTAGTATCAATTACGAACTTTAAATACCAAATTTGAACCAATTCCGGTGAATAAATTCGCTAAAATCATCAAACGTTATATGGGGGCTATACGAAGGCGTGGACCTGCACAGACAATTTTCTGTCTTAGGCTGTAGTATCTATTACGAACTTCAAATACCAAACTTGAAACTATTCCGGTGAAAAATGCCGCTAAAATCATCAAAATACCGAATATCGGAAGGGGACAATACCTAAACGTGGACCTACATGGCCCATTTTCAGTGCCAAAAGTCCTGCAGACATAACATACATTTATGAATCTACTTCAATTCGTTCGGAAGCGAGAGTGATTTCCACAGACTGACGGACGGTCGGATATAGCTTAATCGACATAGAATTTTATGCTGATCAAGAATATATATACATTGTGGGGTCTAAAATGTGTATTTCGAGATGTTACAAACGGAATGACAAACTTAATATACCCTCCATACCATGGTGGAAGGTATAAAAAAAATATTTTTTGTGGGACACAACATAATTGCAACATTTATTAACACTGAGAGTAGCTTTCCAACAAATATGTTAATTAGAATAATAATAATTCTATGGCCCAAATGGACCTCAAAATAAGTACAGGGTGAGATAAAAAAAACTGCAACGAAGTCAAACGCCATAATTTTTATATTTTTTTTCGGAAACAGCATCCAATTTTAGAATAAGTTTAGATTTGTTTGGATTGGTCACGTTTGGCACGAATTGTGGCCTTCAAACTGACAATGAAGCCGTCACACGCTACCCGAATGTTTCTCTGCGATATGTTGGCCCTTTGGTATTTTATAGTGCCAACCTGGCTTTCCAAAATACTCCAGACACAATAGTCCAACGGATTGGTATCCAGAGATTTTGGTGGCCATTCTGCGCTGGGAATGAAGCGAGGAACCTCATTTTGTAACCATTCTTGGGTGGCGTGTGCTGGAGGCGATGGTGCTGAGTCCTATTGGAATGTCCGAGGTCTGCGGCCAAAATGTTTGTGTGTCCAAGGCTTTAATACACCCTACAGACTATTTTCGCGATAATATTCGAAATTTATTCTGATGCCACGGTCGATTAATAGGAGCGGAGAGCGACCATCACCATGGCCGGCGCATGAGTTCTGGTGGCCAACCGAAGGTGCACATTTTCAGCTGACTTCTTTGGCAAGTAAAAAGGATCATTTTATTGGTTTTCTCATCGGAGAAAACATTCGAAGTAACTCTTTAGCTCTTTTGAGTCTATTTTCTTTCTGTGGCGGTGTAAGTTCTTGCACTTTTTGTTTTTACCCCGAGCTCATTTTTTAATATTAGCCGAATGGAATATTGCGATATGTTCAGCTCACGAGCAATTTTTCGGCCATTGCGAAACAATATAATGAACTGTCACTGGAATAATTTTAACAGCTGTCGGTCGAGTGGCTTGGAAATGACAGCAGTGTGAAGTTGGTTGCAGTTTTTTCATCTTACCCTACTACAAAAAAACTACTTATTTGTCGATTTTTTTTGTGGCTAGGAAAAACAACTTATTTTGAGTGGTGTGCCATTATTTAGATAATGGGTTAGTAATCCGATTTGTAATCAATACTTTTGCTGTATTAAGTTTAAGTTTGTCGAAACTTAAATAATGAAAGAGGTTACAATTTTCAAAGCAAACGAATGGAATTTAGCATAGATGTTTGTAGCATTTGCAAGATGTTACGGGCTACATCGATCCACTCTTTTGGTGTAGCTATCACTACTGTTTTTCAGTAGTTTAAAGGCTTTGGCCATTATTTCTAATTAACTCAACTTTAATTTCCGTTTCGGTTCCTCAGTGTTGTTGTACAGAACTCACCATTACTTTTATGTCCTCCGCCGTACGATAAAGGGTATATAAAATTTCTCATTTGGTTTGTTATTAAACAGTCATAAGTCGTTATAGCGATGTTCATTTGTCACATGTTATAATGACGCTATCTTTCGAACGAATTCATGCAGCCACCTATAACGGTACATATTCGGATTTTTGATGATTTGAGCCGCAATCTCCAAATAAATAGTCTAAAATGTAATTTTCGTGACAGAACATTGTCTATGTTGATACATGCATGGAACAATCATAAGGTAGGGTAGAGCTACCAGCTGATTACAATTTTTTTCTAAGTGTGTCAGACTTCTTATTTTGTATGTATTTATTACTTTGAAAAATAAAAACAAAATATTTTCAAAATTAATGATTGGAAGACGAGTACATTGCGGGACGCGCATTGAAGCAACTCGCCAGTTTTTCCATATAATTGAAATATCATGTTTTGAAAGAAAATGCAGGCATTTCATTAATTTTTCGCGCTGCTTAACTGATTTAAAAAATGAGGAAAAATATTAAATAAATAAAAATATTAATAAATGAAAACAACAAAAACAAAACAACAGCCTCAGGGCTGTATTTCTGTAGTTCTACCTCCTTATTGAACCATGGGTGCATGTGTTTCTATAACCCCAATTTATCAGTTTCTCCCGTTAATCGGTATTCTTTAGATTAGATTAAGATATAGCTTACATATTTTATCTCTATCCAATTTACAGATTTTGACATTTTCTGACATAATCTTAGATATCAAGTACTTTAAAATTCTTCTACCGGCTTCTACCCGTGAACTCCAACCTCTTGTAAAAATGTCCGTTGTTTGGTATATTTCTGTGAACTGCAAAATCACGAAATAATTTCGAATTTTCCACATCCAATATTTTTAGTCTTGACATACATTTCGGCCAAAATATGCATATAATGCGATCTTCTGAAAGCAGGACAAAAAGTCATCTTTTGTTTTGAAGTTTTAAATTGCGAACCCCATTTTCATAAGAACGTACTTTAATATTGATGTGTGAATTGGCCACAAAGTTTTGAATAAGAACATCTATCATTCTGTTTGTAACTCATCGAAATAATAATTCT